TGTGTTGGCTGTTCTTTGTTTGTCCTTCCTTTTCAGTGTCTGCTACGATACATCGGTAATCTGGGAGAGTAGGAGGAGGTATGGAGGTGTGGCTCCAAAAGATTAATACCTCAGTCTCCAATAGGCAAGAAGGCTTTGGTAATACCCACGTGTTACTCCTCCCACGCCTTCTCTTCGGAAACTGGCAGTTGGACTTACCTGAACTGCATGTTTCGTAGAGTGGCATGGGAGGAGTCACTTCCCTCCCGTTCTGGGCGCCCTGCGCCTAGGGGGGCCTCAGCGAGTCCAGGTTCAGCCTTAGCAATTAGGAAGGATATGTGTTGGCTGTTTGTCCTTCCTTTTTCAGTGTCTGCTATGATACATCGGTAATCTGGGAGAGTAGGAGGAGGTACGGAGGTGTGGCTCCAAAAGATTAATACCTCAGTCTCCAATAGGCAAGAAGGATTTGGTAATACCCACGTGTTACTCCTCCCACGCCTTCTCTTCGGAAACTGGCAGTTGGACTTACCTGAACTGCATGTTTCGGAGAGTGGCGTGGGAGGAGTCACTTCCCTCCCGTTCTGGGCGCCCTGCGCCTAGAGGGGGCCTGAGCGAGTCCAGGTTCAGCGTTAGCTATTAGGAAGGATATGTGTTGGCTGTTTTTTGTTTGTCCTTCTTTTCAGTTTCTGCTACGATACATCGGTAATCTGGGAGAGTAGGAGGAGGTACGGAGGTGTGGCTCCAAAAGATTAATACCTCAGTCTCCAATAGGCAAGAAGGCTTGGGTAATACCCACGTGTTACTCCTCCCACGCAACTCTACGAAACATGCAGTTCAGGTAAGTCCAACTGCCATTCTCCTTAGTTCTATGTTGTTTTGTTCTTGATTTGTTTCCATTTATTGTTTATTTTTTAGCCTTATGGTGCTTTTGAAAATAGATTAACCCCGCCCCTTCTTTGTAGCAGCCCCTCAAATATTCGAACACTGCTATCATGCCACCCTGAGTCCTTATTTACAATAGACATTTTACTTTTATGTTATTTAGAAAATTTATATAACCATCTACTCATTCACAGAGACTCTAGGCAGTTTACAAAGAATAAACAGCTTACAAACATACCCAATTTCTGCAAAGCTGCATTGTTTTAACTTTAGCTCTCTAATCATTTTTGTTACTCTTTGTACTCTTTCCATAGTATCTACATCTTTTTTATATTGTGGCTTGCTAAAATATAAAATATAACTCTGGCTTGCTAAAAATCGCTTTCAGCAGCAATCACAGCCTCTCCCCTAAGCAGTTCATACAGCTGAAGCAGCAGCTACACCCACTTCTTCCTTGCCACTCCATTGTAAGCCATGTTCTCTAATATGCTGATACATTTGGTTGGTGCTGCCACAGCTGATTAAGATGCTAGCAGATCTGCTTATCTCAAATGAAGGGTTGGGTTGGAATTCAGGCATCCATCAGATGCGGCTGGTTTTTGAGAGGGCTGGTTCAGCTGTTGGCATTAAAAGTATCGCCCCAAAGATGATACAAGAAAAGTGCACCCCAAAGTTTTGAATTCTAAATTGATTCGGAAATGTATTATTTAAATAGCACATATGTCGGTCTGATGGGAATAAACTGTAGAAATGACACATAAATATGATTTGCATTCTCTTTTTTAATTTAATCTATTTTATTCCATTTTTATATATGGTTTTATTAATGTTTGTATTTTATATTCTGTATTCTGATTATGGCCTATTGACTGATCAAAAATAAAGTTACAGGTATTATTTAAATAGTATTTTTAAGGAAAGAAAACATAGAATTTTGATTTATACACTTCCCTTCTTCTTTAACCCTTTCTAATTCTCCAGCCCATAAATAATTAGTTCTGTCTTTTCTTCTTCCAACAAAAAATTCATGTAAGTTTTGTAGTCTTTCAAAAAAGTCTTTATCTTTTCTATCTTTATCTATCCAAGCTTAATCAACTTTACCACAAAATGGTGAGGTTGGCATTTCTGTGTGGTGCATCAAGTTTACAATTCAATCTTCTACTGTGGGTATAATTTAAATAGCATTTAGGTGTGCAATATAGGAAATAATTGTAAAACAATAAGATGTAAAGAGGTGCAGAGAAGAGCAACAAAGATGATTAGGGGCCTTGTGGCTAAAACGTACGAAGAACGGTGGCCGAAATTTAGTATGCCTAGTCTAGTGAAAAGAAGGACCCAGGGAGACATGATGACAGTCTTCCAATATTTGAGGGGCTCCTGCAGAGACAAGGGGCTCTACCTATTTTCCAAAGCACAAGAAGGCAAGACAAGAAACAATGGATGGAAACTAATCAAGGAGAGAAACAACCTAGAACTAAGGAGAATTTTTTTAATGGTGAGAACAATTGGACCTCCCCTGAAGCTCCACCAGACATGGTCAGGAGTGATTGATGATAGAAATGTCTTTTGAACAACATCAGGTGGTCTAGAAGCTCCCTGGAAGCTCCCTCATCATTGCATTAAAAACTCCACAGAATCTTGCTTCAGTCCATGTTCTCCTTGCCTTGATCATAAAACTCCCCCCCTCCTTCTCCTACTGCTTCTCCTTCCTTCCTTCCTTCCTTTGGCTCCTCCTCCTCTTTCTTCTTCTTTCCCCTTCTTCTCTCTCCTCCTTTTCTCTCCTGACTCTTTCCTTAAAGATATGATTAACTCGGTTGACTGCATGTTCAGTCAACTGGACTCACCTAGATCAGGGGAACATCTGCTGTACCCCTATGTCAGCTGCTCAAATAACTTTACCTTTTAAAATTCTTTAAAAAATAAGTAGCACCAGCTGTTCCAAATGAATCTCTGTTTAAGTAAACTTCTATAAAATTAGTCTTGGCTGAAGTCTCTGCTGTGCAACTGGCTATTAAATTGTGGTGATGTTTGCTCAGTTTCTATTTCTAATTTCTATTGCAAACATTTCATATTTCAATCTGACACTTCTCTTAACAGTGTCCTTTTTTTTCAAATGTGACAAAAAAATATGACCAGAAACTTCAACTCCTTCCTGCTTGAGGAATTCTGAGTTCAACACCAGGAAGCCAAAGATTTATTTATGACTTCTTTCGTAAAACACTGCTTTGGTTCACTTCTCATTAAATTGTCTATTTAAATTTCAAAGGACAATGATGTGATGGATCCTTCATAATACCAAGGTTTATACTAGTGATCAGCTGTCTTCTGAACCATGTGCCTAATTTATAGCATGCAACCTTTTTGTTGTGTCACTGAAGCTATTCAGAAATTACTTTGTTGTCCAGTTGCCTTTTGAAAAAGCACCTTTGAGACTTACTTTCCTTCTATACCCCTAATGTGGAACCAGGAGAAAACATCCCTTGTAGGAAGACTACATTTCACATTTCAGCAAAAGTCTTAGGAACATTTGTTTGAAGTGCGATTCTGCCTCTGCACTCACTGAATCAGTGGAAGTTGCAATTCTTGGGCATCCTTTTCTGATTTGCCCTTAGCCATTGGGTTTGATGGGAATTGTAGTCAACAAATGTGGAAAATGCTAGGTTGAGTAGAGCATAGGGCGTCAGCTCACAGGTCTGTGCAACCTGGTGGTGCAGATAAATATAAGAGCAGGAAGTGAAGGCCCTCAAGGTAAAGAATTCTTAGGGAAAAAATAAAAGGAGAATAGAAGGAATGTGTGTTAGCTAAGGAAAGTTGAAAGTAGGTTTGGCTTGCTAATCTACAAACTGTCGACCATTCCACTCAGTCATCTAGCAAAGAGAGACTCCTGGCCATTTGTTTTTGCCAAAAGTATAACTTTACTGATGCTTAAGTGGGTACAGAAATAGCATAAGCTGAATCTGAGGTTTTTGCATGCAAACAATACCAAGCCCCACCCTGGCCATCCCCCAGATATCTGTCAATGTCCAATTAGGTGCTTGTATATCAGGTTCATGGTTACCAGCTCTGCAAATCAATAATTGACCTTGGCTGGCTGAAGTTTCTCACAAGGCGGAATTGGGCTTCTACCACTCCCCATATCTTCCTTGCATTTGAATCCTTCCCTCCCCCTGAGCCCACCCCAGCCCAATATCAGGCTGCCGGTTCCTGACAGGACAGGTGCAGCCATTACATTCTGCTTGACTGGTGGTCTCCATCGTTCTTTTTGCCCACATTGCCCAGCATAGACAGAAGACCCGAGATACTTATCTTATTTATTTGACGTATTTCTATTTTTAGTAGCTCTATCGAGTAGGGAGGTAAAAAGACTGAAACTCTCTTCGCCTGCTTAAAACTGCAATGGAAACGTTGTCTGAGCTTCTGTGGTGCCTGTTTGCTAATTGTTTGGGGAGAACGTAGCCCTGGCAAGTGGATTTCTAAAGTTCTTGCTGGGTTTCAGAGAAAAACTACCAGTCGGTCTTCATCTGCAAGAGATCTTAGGGGCTGCTAGAGTTCCATCTCATTCCACAGACTTCAACATAAAAGTCGAGGAGTTTCAACGATGCTCAAGAAGAGTTGAAATCCTAGCCAACTTAATGGCTTATTTGTGTCAGAAGCATCACAATTAAAATAAGCCATACTTTACAAGATCAAATTTAAAATATAAAACACAAGATTGAAGTATGTATAATTAAACAAATCTTCCCCAGAAACTAACAATATTATGTTCTGTCTTACTGTCATGAGGTCCTCAAGTGTGCACTGATCGGGACACAAAGGGCAGGTATACATACATATGTGTTGTTGTCTGCATGTCACCACAATCACAAAGGGCAGAAGCCACTGGATATCTCCATTTGTTCAGAGTGTCTGTAGATCTTCTTGTTCCTTGTGGGCAGTCTAATCAACGATTTCCATACTTCCCGGCTTTCGTCTAAACCAGGTGGCAGCTCCTCCATTGGCTCCATCCAGGGTTGGTTCTTTCCAACCATCTTAATGAATAGCCTCTGCATTCCAGCGATTGTGCTCACTTCTCCTGAGGAAATGAAATCAGAGTTTTAAACATGAGACGGGTGTGAATGGCAATGTTTGTTTTCCTGCAGGATCTGATAAGAAGAGACATCTTGTACTACAAAGGACGGATTGATATGGACCGCTATGAAGTTTTGGATATTGAAGACGGACGGGATGATGACTTCAATGTGAGCATGAAGAATGCTTTTAAGCTACATAATAAGGAGACTGAGGAAATGCATTTGTTTTTTGCCAAGAAGCTGGAAGAGAAATTGAGGTGGCTCAGAGCTTTCCGTGAGGAGCGAAAGATGGTGCAAGAAGATGAGAAGATAGGTAAGACAGGAAGTTCTAAGCAGGTGGGTCTTAGAGCTCAGGAATAGGATTTGTATCTCACACAACATCTGCCAGGACTCCCTGTATAAACAGGGCCTGGCATCCTCCCCTCAGTGGGATTGGGGGTTCCACGTCAAACAGTAGATCAGATCGTGACTGGCCCGGTAGCTGATTTTTTAAAAAATATATAAATGATGCGGCGTTTCAATGGTTAGATGGCCTAGGCAGTGGTATTTGAACATAGATCTTTTTAACATTTATATTTTATTGTGCTTTACTAATCTAGGGGAAATGTTAACATGCGTTGCCACTCCATGCATGATATGCCATATGATAAATAAATAAATAAATAAATAAATAAATAAACAAACAAATAATAAACAAATAAATAAATATTAGGAATCTTTCTTCCCTCCAAGTCCAGCTACTGAATGCTGGCCTCCTGTTGCCCCATTAGTCCATTGGCTTCCAAACCCATCTGGAAAAAGAAGAGCCAACAGGTTGCACTATCCCTTCCTTATTATCCATTCTTGCAATGTGGAACTGCAAACATGTGTTTTTCCTTGCATGATGGCAAGAGCACTTAGATGTATATACTACCCCATAGTGCTTTACAATCTTAGCATATTGTCCTCAGTAATCTGGGTCCTCATTTTACCAATCTTGGAAGGGTGAAAGGCTGAGTCAACCTTCAGCTGGTCAGGATCAAACTCCAGGCTGTGGGCAGAGTTAGCCTGCAATAGGACTTAGACACAAACTGTTTCACAGTGCTTTGCAGCCCAATTTGGGTCCTCATTTTATCGACCTCGGAAAGACAGAAGTCTGAGTCAACCTTGAGCCTGTCGGGATCAAACTCCTGGTAGTGGGCAGAACGCACCTGCAATACTACATTCTAACCACCACGGCTCCCCATATAGAAAAGGCCACTTTTGTTTCCCAATCTGTCTTTCTTCCCATAGAAAGCCCTGGACTCCAGTCAAGGGAGCTTGTGCTGCCTTCAAAGGAGCAGCAGGGCTGACTGTAAGAGAAAGTGGAGCAAAGTGGCTTTGAAGAGAGTATCAAACTTTTGCTTGATGCCCTTCAAAGGATGAGAAGGTATTGTCTTTTTAATTTCCCAATGTAGATCTTCAAGATCTGACAGGGCTCCCCAAATTCCCAGACATCCCGCTACACTAATGGGAAATCTTAAGAGTTTAGCCCCAACTAGTCTAAAGGAGCCAGTGGTTGGAAGCAGCTGTCATGTGGCTGGCAAGCACTTCAGAAGATGGAACTTGTTCAAGGAGTGGGCACACATCAAACTGACTGACTGGATGGAAGAACAGTTCCATTGGTTTGCATTTTCATAAAATGTATCCACTTTGCAATTTCCAAACCAGGACATGAACTTGTGATATCTCGTGTTGTTTGACGAAGGAGAATGTGCTCTATAAATTATGAAGAAGGGCGAGTTGATGAAATGAGAGGGTGGTGTTCTTGCACTTATGTACTAATGGCCAACTTCAATTATGCACAACAGCACACAAAGCAAAAGTTTGCCTAGGAAGCATATAGATACTAAAAAGCAGTGCCCAGAAAGGGCGGGGGGACAACATCCAAACTGTGGCACAAAAGGTTTTATGTGAAAAAGGTTGATTTGCAAACAGTGTGGCTCTCTACAGATGTGCATATGGATCAAGGTACAGGGGAAGACTGCATAAAAAACTGTGTGTACAAGATGCACGGGGGAGGGGGTCTAGCATGAGGAATGAAAAGGGAGGAGGGAGGAAGGGAGGCAGGGAAGGAGAAAACAGAGGCAGAGGGAAAAGAAAGGGAAGGAAGGAAGGAAGGAAGGAAGGAAGGAAGGAAGGAAGGAAGG